TGAACAGAGGTATCTGACTTACACAAAAATATTGTCTTTTCTCTAAACAGAAAGGGCCTAACACTTGGTTGCTCTTAGAAAAGAAACTAAATCCCAAGAAAGATGGCATTCTAGTTAAGGTGGTCTTCAATTCCACTGATCACTCTTGATAAAAGTAAAGCCTAAGGCAACATGGTAAGACAGGGCAGGTCAACTACTTCCTCGGGGCCTTCCTGGTGGCAAAGGAGGGTTAGGGAACATCTGTGCCTTTAGGGACAGACAGTTCCAGTCTTAAGTAAATGATTGCACTATATTTTCATATGAAAAACATTTACACATGAGGGAAAAGAATCCTGTTAGTCCTTGTTTCCTATTTTAAATTTGTTAAACAGAGCCACCACAGATTAGCTGGTATCAGATAGAGAAGCCCAAACATGTTTTAAGTGAAGCTCACGAAAGCTTTAAGTGAAGTAGTGGAAAAAATGGTGTGCATAATTTTTGTCCCTGTGTGGATACAGGTCAAGTACATAACACATGGGAAAATTAGGGTCTGATGAAAATGGGAAAGGAAGTAGTAAAGGCTCAAATGGGTGCTGGGCACAAATCATCCAGAGACCCTACACACATGTGAAGGGGTAGTGAGGATGGGGAGGATCTCAGAGCACCAACAAGGCACAGCAGAAGGAGAGGAAGTTCATGACAGTGGCAGGACAGAATCGAAAAGGGAAAGGGTGGGGAGTGTTATGCCCAGACTTCGTGATCCCCAAGGACCACCAGGGGGCCGAGTCCGATGCAATAAACAAAAGAGCCTTTTTCCATTCTAGCATGGGCTCTGTCCCACTCACACCGGCAGCATGGCGGAAGAGAGAGCGAATTTCGCCCAGTCCAGGGGTTTTACTCTGGTCGGTGGTGATGTCACTGCCTTGGCTAACCCTGATTGGGCTGAGTCCAGTTACAAAAGTGGAGGATAACACCACCCTGCCCACAGTGGAGTCAGGAGCTCATCCTCGCCCCGCCCTGCCCTCTCAGGGAGAACAGCTGGAAACAGTGAATCTTGTAGAAAGTGTAGGGCAAGTTAAATTAACTAAGTGGAGACTGCACTGTGAGAGGTTAGTAAATAAAGAAGCCAGGAGGACCCTTGAGGGAGGGAAGCCGAAGAGAAATTTAACTAGGAAAAGCTGAAATAGGCAGTACATCTTTAAGGGAAATGAATCAGACAAAAAGAGGAAGAAAGACTGGATAGAAAATGACAGACTGCCCATGAAAGAGAGAAAACAAATAGAATTAAAGGAAAACGAGAAGACATAGTCAAGTGTATACCTCTGACAATGAGGGAAAAAGCAAGAGTGGCACACGTTATCAAGTTGGATGGTGACAGCATAGAGACTGGAGAGCTAAGAGGCAGATTTGCTGCAAGAGTGAAGGAATGTCACCTAATTAAAAGACAGAATAAATTCAAATCCAGTCTCCTCCTAAAGAATCCCAGTAAGCTAATGGAGGAAGAGAGTAACAAAATCTGGGCCTCTTTTAAAGGCAAATCATATCAAAAGAAAAAGAAAAATTGCACAGCAAGATTATGAAAATGAATATGAAACAAGGTTAGTGTTTGTGTATATGGTGCATGGAAAAAAAAGAAGATTCATAAAAATACTGGGTTCTACCCCACAAGAAATTCCATCCAATAATATTCCCTGAAGGTCTACTATTTGGCCTTCAACAGGCTAAGTACTGGGGAGAAAAAGTAGGAGCATGTTCTAATCCCTGCCTGCAAGCACTCACCAAGTATTGTGTTACAAAATAACCCTGTATTGCATGAAATATTATTATATTTAAAATCGTTTTTCTTGAAATATTGTTTATTGCACATAACTTTATTATACTTAAAATCATTTTTCATGGGGAGAAACCAACATGGTGGCATAGGTAAACACCTGAACTTGCTGCCTCGCACAACCACTTCAAAACTACAACTAAAAACAATTATCATCCAGAACCATGGGAAGGCTTGGTGAGTGGAAATTCTACAACTAGAAGGAAAGAGGAAAGAATACTGAGACTCAGAGGAGGTGTGGAGGTGCAGAAGTAAAGTGCAGAGGTACAGAGGTGTGCACAGAAAGGGGCTGGCAACTGAGTATGCTGTTGTCTTTTTCAATTGGGAGAGAGACACAAGCTCCTGACTGCTCTGAATGCCAATTCCGCGTGAGACTCTGAGGATCCAGACTCATATGGTGAGAAACTGGACTGTCTGGCATTGGGCTGGAATATGAGGGCAGCTTTCTCTCAGAGGTGCTTGCAGCAATCATTGTTCCTGCATGGTGGCACAGGACACAGAGACCCGGGGAACTCTTTGGGGCAGAGCTGATGTTTGCTCTGTTCTGGTGATTCCCTGAGACCCAGCCCCACCCAATTTACAACCCCTCCCAAGCTGTGTGCAGAGGCTTTTGCATATGAATGGCCTAGCTCTTAAAACCTAACATACTGCAGTTGGGCCAGAGAACTCCAGAGCTTCCAAAATAAGGCCCAAGGCTCCACAACAGCTTGCATTGCTTCACAACTGTGCCTTATTTGGGCACCTCCAAACCCCAAGAGGAGGAATCTGCAGATCTCTCTGTAGCTCCTGCTGGGTGGCCTCAGGCAGTGGCTGACTTTGCAGCTCCTTGGAGATCCAAGAGTCGTGTATCCAGTAGTCAGAGCAAGACCATTCAGATTACAACTCTTCAGAATCATAAGAGACACACACTTAGCGGGGTAAACTCAGTGAGTGCCAAAGCTCAACTGAAGCAACTCTTGCCCTGTAAGGGTGTCTCTAGCAGAGAAGTTCTCCCATCATAGACACAACTGATCCTCACAGCCAATCGGCCTGGAGGTCAATTCCTCCCAGTGATTCCAACAACAATAAGGCTTAACTAAAACAAGTCTCTGCACACAGTCCACAAAGGGGTGCACCAAGAGTGTCCACCTCAGGTAACTGGGGAGGCTGAGCCACTGGGTCCATAGGACACCTACCACACAAAGACTTTCTATCAACGCAGGGAAGCAGCCAAAATGCGGAGACAAAGAAACAGGTCACAAATTAAAGAAATGGAGGAAAGCAAATGACTGGATATGGAGTCAAAACCACAGTTATAAGATTACTCAAGAATCTTCTAGAAACCTCCAAGAAATTTATGAGACCTTAAGGATATGAAAAAGGACCAACTAGAAATTAAGCATATAATGAATGAAATAAAGAATAATACACAGAGATCCAACAGCAGACTAGAGGATCCCAAGAGTCAAGTCAAAGATTCGAAATAGGAAGAAGCAAAAAATACCCAACAGGAAAAGCAAAAAGCAAAAAGAATCAAAAAATATGAGGATGGTGTAAGGAGCCTCTGCATACCAACATCTGAATTATGGGGGTGCCAGAAGAAGAGAGAAAACAAGATATTGAAAACCTATTTGAAGAAATAATGACATAAAACTTCCCCTACCTGGTGAAACGAATAAACTTACAAGTCCAGGAAGCACAGAGAATCCAAAACAAAAGGAATCCAAAGAGGACCACACCAAGAAACATCATAATTATAATGTCAAGAGCAAAAGACAAAGAGAGAATATTAAAAGCAGCAAAAGAAAAACAGTTAGTTACCTACAAGGGAGTACCCATAAGATTGTCAGCTGATTTTTCAACAGAAACTATGCACGCCAGAAGGGAGTGGCAAGAAATATTCAAAGTGATGAATAGAAAGAAGTTACAACCAAGATTACTCTACCTAGCAAAGCTATTATTTAGAATTGAAGATCAGATAAAGAGCTTCACAGATAAGAAAAAGCTAAAGAAGTTCATCACCACCAAACTAGTATTATATGAAATGCTGAAGGGTATTATTTAAGAAGAGGAAGAAGAAGAAAAAGTAAAGATAAAAATTATGAACAACAAAGTGACAAATACATACCTATCAACAAGTGAATCTAAAAATCAAGTGAATAAAAAATCTGATGAACAGAATAAACTGGTGAATATAATAGAATCAGGGGCATAGGAAGGGAGAAGGCTGACAATTCTCAGGGGGAGAGGGGTGTGGGTGGTGCAGGAAGAGACTGGACAAAAATCATACACCTATTGATGAGGACAGTGTGGGCGGGGGATAAAGACAGAGGATGGGGTGGGAACCTAGTGGAGGTGAGCTATGGGGGGAAATAAGAGGAACAACTGTAATAATATGAACAATAAAGATTTATAGGAAAAAATTAAAAAATCATTTTTCTTGAAATATTAATGTTTATTGCATATACAAAATAATAATAATAATAATAACAACAACAACAACCACCCTGGATGTGGAGCCAGAAGATCAAGGCCTAGTTTAAGTGCTTTTCAGCTGTGACTCAGACCATGAGTTCTTTACAGGTAGAAAGAATAGGCTATGGAAAATTTCTGAAATTACTTTTATTTTAAAACAAATAATCAAATAGTACATATCAAATAGGTTGGCCATGCAAACACATTGTGTCCCACTTGATTCTCTCAGTGGAAAAAATGCCCCCCATCTTGTTTCACATTCTAATCCTGTATTTCCTTAGGTCCCCTGGGACTTCCCTCTTTTCATATAACTTCAATGTCTCTTCTCAAGGAACTCTTTCCCATTTGTAAATATTCTTCTCATTCTCCTTTCTATGAAGACCTTCTCTATCTCCTGAGCTTTCTACTAGTTACTGCCGTGCATTTCCTTTCCTTTGAAGTCAGCTTCTTGGAGAAGCAATCTATTCTGACAGTTTTGGTCTTTCCCTTTGGGCTGCAGAAAATCTGATTCATGCTTCCAGGTCTCTCCATCAAACCATCCTCTTGAAAGTCACAATTGCTGCTTCTCAGTTATCAATCCTAAAGGGCACTTTTCAGTCCTGATTTAACCTCTCTTCTCTTTGGCATTTGTCACTGTTGACCATATTCTTCCAACATTTTCTCCTATCGACTCATAGCACAACTTTCTCCTAGTTTTCCTCTTATCTCTACTAGGGTGACTTTTCGGCCGGTTTGCTCATTCTTCCTCACCTGCATATCCACGGCTCCTTTCCTTGTCCACTTGAGAACTACAGGAGGGAAAGGTCAGCAATAGGGAGCCAGTAAGAATGCTGCTAGCTCTTATGTAAGACAGTGGCAATGGAAATGGAAAGGAAAATCAGTGGGAGGCCCTGAAAACATTTGACGGACTATAGGAGTGATTGTATGGGGTGGGGGTGGGGGACAGAGGAGTGGGGAGGTGAGAGACAGGGAGTTGCTCAAAATAATGCAGACATAAAACTTTAATAAAACTTTAATCTTTCTTTCTTTCTTTCTTTCTTTCTTTCTTTCTTTCTTTCTTTCTTTCTTTCTTTCTTTTTTTTAAATTGATTTTTTACAGAGAGGAAGGGAGAGAGATAGAGAGCTGGAAGTGTCGAGAGAGAAACATCGACCAGCTGCCTCTTGCACACCCCCTGTGTATATGCCTGCAACCAATGTACATGCCCTTGACCGGAATCAAACCTGGGACCCTTCAGTCTGCAGATCTATACTCTACCACTGAGCCAAACTGGTTTTGGCTAGTTGGGCTCTTTCTTAACCATGACTGGGCCTTTCAGGAGGTAATTAAGTGTAAGTTAGGTCATAAGGGTGGGGCTCTAATCTTTAGGACTGGTGTCCTTACAAGAAGAGGAAGAGATGCCAGAAATCTTTCCCTTCACACCCGCACCAAGGAAAGGTCACATGGGGACACAACGAGAAGGTGGCCACCTGTGACCCTGCTGGGATCTTGAAGCTACAGCCTCCAGAAGTGTGAAAACATAAATTTCTGTTGTTGAAGCCATCCAGGCCATGGTATTGCCATGGCGGTGTGAGAACACGAATGTGGAGATGTGTTGGTAAGTAAAATGAAGTCAGATGACTGAGAAGGAAAAGGTCAGAAATTTTAAAGATGAAAAAATGAATATAGTGTATTTAAGAAAAGAGTAGACTGATGAGTGAGAAAGGCTGAAAATGAGCATGACACCAGGTTAGTGTACTAACAGCTCTGAAAAAAGGAATGCTGATTTATAATCTTAATCAGTCTGAAGTCCACCCTTTCGGCCTATCTCCGGGGAACCTATGCTGTAACATTAAAGTAAACTCAAATGTCTGTGCAGGCCACAGTGTAAGGTGATTGAAAGAAGCTACAGACAACACAACAGCTCTGTGACAGACTGGAGGTGGGCGACCAGCCCCGGGAGCAGCCCACTGTCTCAGCTTCAGCTGGCGGATGTCACGGAAGAATACACAGTGTGGATTATTTTCAAAAGAAGTCAGAGTCACTTATGTAGACTCTTTATACTTGGACAACTAGTGAAATGACACACATGCACAGTGGACCCAACCAAAGATACCAGGAAAGAAAACTTGAAAATACATAAAACACTCAGACCTTTGATTGCAGCTAACAAAGTAACAGGAACCAGATTTACCTCTTGCCTAGAACAACCAAAAAAACTGGACAAAGCATATGAACCAACAATTTTCAAGACACTAAATCAGAGGCAACAAAGAATAGCGTTCCCCAAGATATGGAAAATAAGGGAGATGAGCCCTATAATGGCCCAATTTATTACGTTTATCACATGTTTCCAGGCTATGGCACCGGGAGATGAAACCTGCATGGAGCCTGGTGACAAATGAGTAAGAGCTGACAGTCTGGGAAAACTAAAATGGGCAGAGTTCATGAATGCCAGAGGACACAGGCTCCTGGTGAGCAAACTGAAGACCTGTAGAGCACTGATGAGCGCATGTATCTAGAAAATTCAGGAGCAGGGCCTGTGCCCGCCAGCTGGCTCGGAGAGTTTCACCACTCAGAGGGCACTGGGAGAGGGATCGTGTCAGAAGTGAGGAATAGGCAGCCCTATACTAACCAAGGTTCCAGTCCCATCCTAGAGGAAAAGCCTGAAAGAATTACACAGTTTTCAAGCAGCTTAACCACATTCCAGACAGAGCTCCAGAATATTTCCGACATACAAAAATATCTAGCAGCCACTGATAAAAATTTCAGTGTGTGGCATCCAACACAAATTTACCAGGAGTGGGGGGCAAAAAATAGAAAAATATAACCCGTAATAATAAAACACACACACACACACACACACACACACACACACACACACACACACGGAACTAAGACATGGCACAGACGTGAGAATTATCAAAGACATTACCACAGTTGTAATTGTATTCCACCTGCTCTAAAGGTAAAGTAGAAACATGGAAGATATATAGAAGACCCAAACTGAATTTTTAGAAATGAAAGTTAAAATGTCTGAGATGAAAAATATTCTGGATTATAGGCAGAGTAGATATTGCAAGGAAAAGAGTAAAACACTTGGAAGACATAGCAACAGAAACAATCCAAGATGAAACACAGATAGAAAGGAATTTTAAAAATAAACATACCATTAATGAGCTGTGGGACATCTTTTTTTTAATATGCTTTTATTGATTTTTTATTTTTTTTGAGAGAAAGAGAAACATCAATTGGCTGCTTCCTGCATGCCCCCAACTAGGTACCAAGCCCATAACCCAGGCATGTGCCCTGACCAGGAATAAAACCAACAACCTCTTGGCACATGGATGACACTCAACCAACTGAGACACACTGGAAACATGGGATATCTTCAAATGGCTTAACATACATGTAATTGGAATCTTCAAAGAAGAGAAGAAAAATAATTGGGCATAGAAAAAAGAAAAAGGCAGAAGAAAAAGTGGTCCCAAATGTTCCAAACTTAATGAAAACTATAAACTTACAGAACCAAGCTCAACTAACCCCTAGCACAAGAAATATGAAGAAAATCACAGCTAAGCACATTATAATTAAAGTGCCAAAAACTAGTGATAAAGAGAAATCTTAAACATAGCCAAAATGGGGAAAAACATGCTATGCAGAGGACCACAGATAAGCATAACCACCTATTTCTTGCTGGTAACCTTCCAGTAACAAACAAACAAACAAATAGCAAATCTTTCAACACAGAACTATATACCAAATGAAAACAGCTTTCAAAAAGAAAGGTGAAATAGACCTTCGTAGACATGCAAAGAGTAAAGGTATTCATTTTTTGCTAGCCAACACTACAAGATACGTTAAAGGGAATTTTTTAGGCAGAAGAAAAAAGATAGATGGAAATGTGAATCTACACAAAAGAATGAAAAACATTGGAATTGTAACAAAATGGGCGTATATGTAAGACTTTTAATATTTTTTTTATCTCTTCAAAAGATGGCAGTTTAATAAAAAAGAAAAACAACAGTGACTTATAGCATATATAGAAATAAAATATATGAATACAGCAATATACACATATACATATCTTACTTAATAATAGACAAACATGTAAACTGACTGTATCTCTGCTATCTCACAGCCAATCAGAGTGAGTATGAAAATTATAAGGCCAAAGATGGTGGCCGCTCAGCTACTCCAGGCTCGGAGTGGTCAGGCAGGGCAGGACACCTGTTATGAGAGGGAGGGTGGGGGACAAAAGGATCTATAGGAGCAGAGTGCCACAGTGAAGACAAGACTGCAGATTGCGGAGTCTACAGCGAAGACAAAGATGGCAGACTCCAGGTGGAGTCTGCAGTGAAGCAGCGAAGATAAAGACAGCAGACTCCAGCCAGAGTCTGCAGCAAAGACAAAGATGGCAGACTCTAGCCTGAATCTGCAGCAAAGACAAAGGCAGACTCTGGCAGGAGCGAGGCCTGGGTCTTGGGTGCCGGAGGAAAACCAGTGCTGGAAACCAAGGGAAGGAAGGCCTATTGCACGAATCTTTTCGTGCAATGGGCCTCTAGTTGCCATGTATAAAGAACTATGGGAAATATGAGGAAAATGACTCACCAAAAAGAGAATATCAATAAAGAAACAGAATTTACATAAGAAAGAATATTAAATCTATATAAACTCTCAAAAAAAACCCAAAAACTGAAGGGATGGGAATTATTCCCAATTCATTCCATATGGCAAGTTTAGCCTGCTACCAAAACCAGACTAAAACATAACAAGGAAAAAAAAACTACTCCTCATGAACAAAATGCAAAAAAAAATTTAAATAATATTTTAGAAATCAAATCAACTTATGCTAAGAATGAAAGTTGGTTTACTATTTAAATATCTATGTAATTTACCACATTAAAATATTAAAAAACAACAACTCATATGGGTATCTTAACATGCATAAAAAGCATCTGACAAAAATCCAACATCCATTCCTGATACAAACTCTTGGGAAACTAGAAAATGGAGGAACTACTGGAAAGGGCATTTATGAAAAAAAAAAAAAAAGCTCTATAATAATTAATGGTAATAAAAAAGAGACTGGATGCTTTTCCCCTTATTTTCCATAAGGTCAGGAAGAAGAATGTCTACTCTCTATGAGAGGGAGGGTGGGGGACAAAAGGATCTACAGGAGCAGAGTGCCTCAGTGAAGACAAGACTGCAGATTGCGGAGTCTACAGCGAAGACAAAGATGGCAGACTCCAGGTGGAGTCTGCAGTGAAGCAGCAAAGACTGCTCAGTTATGTTAAATGGACTCATGGACTCAGTTATGTTAAAGAAATAGAGATGACTCTTTGGTGCACACTGGGCTATAAATAGTATTCACTAGCCTATGGTTTTCAAGTCATGAGAAAAGTATCTTAATTCCTCCTTATTCTAAGAAACTGCGAGTACCGGGAAAGTCCAAAAGCTTTAGATGAACTGGCGCATTTAGACATGTCTGAACTTCTCATGAACACTTAGTTTCAGGAGCTCCTTAAACACTCTAGTTCGAAAGGAGAAGGCAAGCTGCTCTGACAGCCTTGAGAAGCTGGGATGTTTGTGAGATTTTTCTGAACTCGAATCTGGAGAATATGGCAAGGATCTCTGTATCACTTGGAAACAGGTATCCAATGTAGTCAGAGTGACTACAGTCTTTCATTCACATATTAGATTAAAAAATTTAAAAACCTATTCAAGCACACCAATAGTATTGTTCCCATGATGTATTAAATGTGGTCATTTTTTGTTGTTGTTGAAATAGAGTTTGTCCTTATTGTTCCTGTTTTGTTTTGTGGGTTTTTTAAAGATTTTTTTTTTTTATTGAGTTTTAGAAAGAGAGGAAGAGAGAGAGAGAGAAAGAGGGAGAGAGAAACATCATGTGAGAGCAAAACATGAATTGGCTACCTCATGCACATCCCTTTCGGGGGATCAAGCCCGAAAATTGGGCATGTGCCCTGATGGGGAAATGAACCCAAAACCTTTTGGTTCAGGGGATGACACTCAACCAACTGAGCCATACTGGCCAGGGCCAGTCTATTTTTCCATATGTATAATCTCTCATTGAGTATAATCTCCTCAGGGCCAGTGACTGTATTATCAACTATTATGTACAATTTCAATTATGCAGAGACTGAACTGAAAACATATCTGGCAGATAAAACAAAAACAAAACCAGAAAGACCTGGGATGTGCTTGGACAGAGAAGAGGGAAAGCCTGAGAAAAACGCAGATGAGGAAATGAAGATGAGGAAAGAGGGCCTATGGTCAAGATCTCAGATCTTGTTTCTCCTCATGGAAAAGAGGGTTCAGAATACTGGTCTGCATCTCTCCCAGGGCAGTGGGAAGACTCAGATGTGATAATGTCAGTGACTGTGCTCTGAAGCGTTACAAGCTATATATAGTGAATAGATTTTCTCTGTCAAAAAGAAAGGTTTTAAACTTACAGCAAAATGGTATGTTACCAAGGAGCCTGACAATACTGAATATAGTTTCACCACACACACACATACACACACACACACACTTGGGAATCAGGAGACATAGGTCTTGGTCCGAGGCTGACAAATGTGCCCTGTGCAATTTGCACAAGACCTTTCCTATTAGTTTTCTTGATTAAAAATAGGGGATACAGAAAGAATTTCTAACGCATCTTCTAGGTCATGATTTGATGACTCTTTTAAATGCCATTTAAAACTCATGCTTATCTCTTATCTGTAGACTGAGATACTATCTTGTAAAATAATGCATGCTTTCATTTGACAATTCCTGTAAATCAGACTGTAATCTGAATCAGAATTTTTGAGCCAGAAGACATTATTTTTCAAAATGTCAAAGTGTTTAACAGGGTTAACTTGAAAAGTATTTCCCTGAAAGAAGTGCAGCAGGGATTATCTGTGTGCATGTGTGTAAGCATGCACTCATGTGTTATGGGGGTGATGGAAGGGCACGATAGATAGCTAATTTGTTCTAGGCATGTATGAGGCATGTGATAGTTTGCTAATAATGTATGAGTATAAAGTTTGGGCTTGAAATTAGGTACAAAATAATCTGCAATGACAAAAATTGATAAATATTTGGGGAATGCTTTTCTATGATTTTTTTTTAAATTTAAAAGAGGGATTTTCTATTTATGTATTAAGTAATTCAGCAAGTAGCAAATAAAAATACAAAACTTCCTAGAGCTCTTTTAAAATAAATACCTCAGAAAAGACTGCTCAAATACAATAGACATTTGTAGAAAATGTACAATGCTAGTGTTCTAGGCACTACCTTTTTTCTTTAATGCCTAAAAATAGACATTTCATTTTTTTTTAAACCACATAACCTACTTGTTTTCAGTTAATGGCATTTCAAAAATTACTTAAACTAAGATAAATGGCAAAATGGGTCCACAGAAAGAAAACTTTAGTGTGATATTTTAACTTAATTTTATTTCTTACTACTTTTCATACACTTCCTCAATGTCCAACCATTATTCTCCTCAAAGCAGCTAAGCTCTTTTATTTTTAATTAATTAATTATTTTTTTGTTAATCCTCACCCGAGGATATTTTTTCATTGATTCTTAGAGAGCGTGGAAGAGAGACATCAATGTGAAAGAGACATGGGTGGTGACTGAGACTGCAACCAGGGATGAGCCTTTGGACCCATGACCCTTCAGTCCATAGGCCAATGCTCCATCTACTGAGATGAACAAGCCAGGGCAACAGCTAAATAAACTTTTAAAAATCAATGATCTGAAACTTAACAAGAGTGTGATGTTTTGAAAAGGAAAATGAGAAATTGTCCATAATAAAAAAAACAAGAACTATTTATCACTGTAAATTATTTAGGAAGAGAAGTTGCTTACTGTGTCATAGATTCTGAGCCCCATCTGAAATCCTGAGACTTGTCCTTGTTGATTGACTGTTGTAAAAGAAGAAGAAAACAAATAATAAGTCAAAAATTAGTGATGATCAGGTAATATTCATATGCTGAAAATCCACCAACTTACTGAAGGAGGAGAGAGCATGCCAGGTTCTGAACACAACTAAACCAACAGTTCTCTTAAGCGCTCTGTAAGGAAAGCCAGCTTACAGGTGTGTGGCAAACGGAGTCCTACAGCATCAGCCTAAATCCTATCTAATAAAAGAGTAATATGCAAATTAACCATCATTCCAAGACACAAGATGGCTGCTCCCATGTGGTCAAAAATGGTTGGCCCCATGTGAATATAAGATGGCCATCACAAGATGGCCACCACAAGATGGCCTGCAAGGGAAGGCAGTTATGGGCAGTTCCTGGAGACCAGGCCAGCAAGGGAGGGCAGTTGGTGGGGACCAACCCTGCAGTAGAAGACAGTTGGGGTGTGGGGGGAGGGGGGGAGAACGGACCCAGCCTGCAGGGGAGGGCAGTTGGGGGCGACTAGGCCAACAGGGGAGGGCAGTTAGGGGCAATCAGGCCAGCTGGGGAGCAGTTTGGCATCGATCAGCCTGGCAGGAAGTGGTTAGGGGATGATCAAGGTGGCAGGCAGAAGCGGTTAGGAGCAATCAGGCAGAGGCAGGCAAGCGGTTGGGAGCCAGCAGTCCTGGATTGTGAGAGAGATGTCCAACTGCCCAATGGTCAGACATCCCTCAAGGGGTCCCAGATTGAAGAGGGTACAGGCTGGGCTGAGGGACACCCTCCTCCCCATGCACGAATTTCATGCACCAGGTCTCTAATTAATCCAATACTACTATATGATTTGCTACTTTAATTCATTGTATCTTGACTTTGCATTCTCTTCAGTATATTCTGTATTTTCACAGTCTACTCACTTAACTATATGCAAAATATTAAATCAGACTTCTTTGAATTTTCTAATAAAGGGGTTCCAAGTATCTTTTATTAATGACACTACTGTGAGAAAAACAAATACAGAAGTGCTCTCAGTGGAATCAAATTATACTCTGAGTGTTAGATGGTTCTTCAAGAATATGAGCATTAATTCCTACTGCAAGTATACTGTGAGAAATAGGTGTTTGCTGTAAGACAGTTTTTTATAAGTCAACCCAATGTTGCCATAAAATAGATTGGAAATGTTTTCTATAGAAAATTCTATGTTATGAAAAGGGTCCATTTAAAATTCACATAAAAATATAAATTGTTATTCTGTTCATATTTTGAATTGCATACAAATTAAATCTATACTAATAAAAGCCTAGATGGCAACTCACTCTCGCGTCATCACAAGATGGCCACCCTCATGTTGTCACAAGATGGCTGCCACAAGATAGCCACCACAAGATGGCTGGCAGGAGAGGGCAGTTGTGGGCAATAAGGCCAGCAGGGAGTGGTTAGGGGGTGATCAGGCTGGCAGGCAGAAGCAGTTAGGGGAAATCAGGCAGGCAGCCAGGTGAGCAGTTAGGAGCCAGCAGTTCCAGATTGTGAGAGGGATGTCTGCCTGCCGCTTTAGACCTTATCCCTCAGGCAGTCAGACATCGCTCAATGGGTCCCACATTGGACAGTGTGCAGGCTGGGCTGAGGGACAACCACCCAGTGCACAAATTTCTAGCATTTGTAAAATGTTTTACATAAAACTAATGACAGAACTACTAAAACACATAGTTTTCAAATCTCTCCTGAGTCCCATAGAAGCCTATAAGAGATCTGCAATTGGCTGCTGTACATATACTCAAATGTCAACTATCTTCAAAGTGAAGTTCTTATTTTCTTATACATACAGGTGTTCAAATTGGAAACCAAGAATTCTCCTTTTCCTGCATGTGGACTTAGTTACCAAATCACGTTCTCTATGTTTGGCTTGGATTACTACAATAGCCCTTCCTGTTCTTACTTCTTCCAGTACTGCTTTTTTCCTAGAGTTTCTAGAATGAACTTTTGAAAGAACCAATTTGATGTCATCTTCCATGCTTTACATCAGTGGTTCCCGACCTTATTTTGGCCATGTCCCACATAAACATCTCTAAAATCTTGGTGTCCCCTCCCATGACAAATAAATCTTATTATTCAAAAGTGAACTTCTATTCATGTGGAGGAAGCCTAAAAGGCCATTAACTTGGTCTAAACAAGCTTCCAAAGAACAAGACATCCATGAAAGAGAAAAACAAAAGAACAAAAGGACAAAGTACTGAGGAAGAAACCACTAAGAAATTGTTAAAAAAAAAATAATAATAATATAAAGTGATATGAAAAATAGCAAATAAAATTTCAAAACATATAATAGAGAACTGAAATGCATAAATATGCCACAATATGTATTGATATCTTCTATATAAGGCTCCTAGGACCATGAGAAATAAAAAAAAAAAAATCACTGTTAATCACTCATTCTTGAATTGATCCCCTTAAAAATCAAATTGCCTCCCCTGTGCGGTATGTGTCCTACGACAGATACCACTGCTTTACATTCTTTGTGGTCTCCCTACTGACCTTTAGGATAAAACCCAGCTCTTAAACATGCCGTACAAGAACCTTCCTGATTCTGTCTACTTGTTGAGCTTCAACTCTGTTTTTAATTTTGCATCCTAAGCTTCGGCCATGATGGAATATCTGTGATGGCCCAAGTGTATAATCCCTTAGAATATATCTGCTCAGTCTGCCTCAAAGTCACTTTCTTCTACAAAGCTCAATTTAGAGATGAACTTCTTTGGAAAGCCTTTGCTGATTTCATTATGCTTAGGTCAGGGACCATTTCTATGTGTCTCCCTAGCATTTAATATAGAACTCTATAAAATATTTCTATTATACTGTAAACCTTCCTGATGTTTGACTATCTACCTGTTATTTTAAGAGAGAATTACAGAAATACAGAGAAGGCAGGCATGAGAAGCTGAGGCAATTAATGTTGAATATCTTCTCTTTAAGAAAGCATGGAGACAAAATCAAGTTGGAGTAAGAGCTTAAGAGCTTGAAAAAGGTGGACATTATTTTGACCAGCCAGGCACTGTAAGGAATGGAATAGGGAGTTGGTCAGGAAGAACAATGGATGGTGAAGACCATGGGCCTCATTAAGGTTGGAATCAGAAATATGACACAGATAACCAATACAATTATGTGACTTTCTTCAGCAATGATAAAATTACATAGTAGAAGTGAGAAAAATGGATAACTGGTTTACCTTCAGACCTGGGGACTGGTAAGACAGGTGTGCAAAGTCACACATACCAAGCACAATGTATTCATCTGGCATCAAAAAGATAAATAATTGCTTCCATGCATTTATTTCCTGGTGGTCTAAATGACCTGGTTTGAGGAGAGTGAAAACTGATTGCAGATAATCAAGAAGGTAGGAAACATCAGAATATGCTTCCCCCCCCCCCCTTTTAAAAGAATGTTTTTATTGATTTTAGAAAGAGAAGAAAGGAGAGGGGGGGAGAAAGAGAGAAATATTGATTGGCAGCCTCCCACACACCCCTTACTAGGAATTGAGCCCACAACCTTGGCATATGCAATGAACAGGAATTGAACTGGTGACCTCTTAGTGCATGGAATGATTTTCAATCAACTTAGCCACACTAGGGAGATCCTACCCTTACCCCTCCCCCCCTTTTTTGAATTCCTGCACACTGAAGAATCATTTGGATCACCCAACTTATCTTTTTTTTAAATATATCTCATTGATTTTTTTCCACAGAGGAAGAGAGAGGGATAGAGAGTTAGAAACATTGATGAGAATCATCAATCAGCTGTCTCTTGCATACCTGCTACTGGAGATGTGCCCACAACCAAGGTACATGCCCTTGACCGGAATCGAACCTGGGATATTTCAGTCCTCAGGCCGAGCTTTATCCACTGAGCCAAACCGGTTTCGGCCAACTTATCTTTTAGACAGAACTATTCCCTAGAGATGGGAGATTAGGGAAGGATCCTGGAGACACTGGAGGAGACCTGGCAGTTTTATGAAGTCCATTGTCACCCTCTGTGCATTGCTGAACATCTGCCTGTGTGCAACTCCATCACAGGGGTCACAGTACATCTGCTGCTATTGGTTTACCCAATCCTTTATTCAGTAAACATTTATTTATACCTGCTTTGCACCTGATCCTGGTAATTTAATTTTGAACAAAACAGCACCTGTTCTCAAGGAACTTTTAGCCCTTCTACTTCTATCCAAATAGAAAAAAAGGAATAGAAGAAAAAAGTCATATGCACAAGCCATGCGAGGAGAAGCATTAAGTGATGCTTTTCCTTTTGACCTAATTTCCTTTACCTAATCTTTTCCTTCTTCAATCTTCATTATACTTACAGTCTGTCAGCAGTCCAATCTAAATGATTCCTTATTCATCATCTCAGTATGTGTACATGTGTGTCTGTCTGTCTGTCTATCCATCCATCCATCCATCTATCTATCCATCCATCCATCCATCCATCTACCTACCTATTTATATTAGCTTAAACAAAATTGTTTGGCCATGTGGCTTTTAAATTTGTTCTTCAGTTGCCTTCTTTAACAGGTTCATATCTAAGCGCAAACCATTTTATTTTATAATATTTATACAGTACAAATTTAGCAGCCATAACAGACTAAATAATTACACATGGTATTTGTGGTAATTACAAAAGTTGCAATAAAAAAAACCTTAATCCAGCCAGTGAGTTTTAGGACGGAGTAATACATAGGGTTCCTGGTTTTGGAGGAATGCTTTCCCACAGTTATCCTGGGAAAGATTCTGCTTCCAGGTCAGCGTCTCTGAAGCTGGCAGGGCAGGGCAGAGAGCATGTTTCACAAAGGAGATGCCAACCTTTGGAGATACATTCTACATCTCTCCTCTGTGTAAGGTACACCAGTGTGTAAGAGGCTGCTGCTTAAGAGTACCCAGAGCAATGGGAAGCAGAAACAGGGGTAAAAGGAAAGACTCAAGTACAACAAAGCTCAGTAAAAGAGAGATAACAGCAAATCTGTTGTACTATGTTGAATGAGGTCT